AATAAATTCAATTTTATTTTAGTGGTTTTATTGTAACTCTTAAATTATTTTCATTGTTATAAAAGAGAAAATAAATTTGAAAAATATATACTTAAATATTTTTTTGAAACATAAGATATGCAAGATATCTTAAAAGATCTTATGTAACTAATATATTTTTTAACCATGAATAAAAATAATATACATTTTATGAAATAAAAAATTTGATTGATAACATTTTTTCTTTAAAAACTTATAAGAAAAAATCATTTTCAGAAACGAAAAAGGAAGGAAATAAATTTCAACTAATATTACCTCTTTTACTAACCGATTTTAGATAAAAATGATAATAAATTTAATTTTGGTAAGCATTTAATTAATTTAAACTAAATTTTAAAATATTAAAATAGCATTACTTTGAAAGATATTCTGGTCATCTCTTAAAACAGGTCTCTTAATCGGGTCTTGGAATTAAATCTTATTTTCGAATATCTAAAAGATTTAATAGGTATTATAATTTTCAATTAAGGAAATAGTTTAGGTGAAAAATCTCAGTTTTTTTATGTTTTTCATTAATATTTCTAAATTTAAATATTTCGTACATTATTAAACTTAAAACATTTAATTTACCTTATTTCAAGTAGATTAAAGATTAAATTTTATATTGAAATTGTTTACAATTACAATATTTATCATATTTTCCTTTTTTGTTAACATTTTAGTAGATTAGTTTATCATATACTTTTGCCAATAGTTAAATTTTATTCATAAGGTATTCATAAATAGATTATCCAAATTTATGAAATTGTTATATATCACTTATGTTATCTTTCAACCGATATACAATTTTTGTAAATTATATTAAAAGATTGCATTTTCTTATACACCGTTGAGGTAATGTCCGTGATTGATAAATTTAACGGTTTTAGGGAAAATATAATATATACGTACTTATATTAAAACCAGACCTAATTATTATTGTATATATTATTTACTTTGTATACAGTTAAAATATACAAATCAACACGCGATTTAACTCTATAGAATTAAAATTAAAATATACAAGACTATTATGTTTATCCTATACTATTGAATACCAAATATTAATACAAATCCAATTATATCTTTAGTTTAAAAACATCATCCGTGCGAAAGCACGGGCCATCCTCTAGTAATGAGTAATTTGAGAGGATAAACTAATTCGACTGCGTATGATTAGACGATTCAAATATTGTTTATTTGATTTAAGGAATGTTAATAAATGTGTTCAATACAATGATGTATGAGCTTATCTTAGTATTAGTAGTTTATGTATCCCCTATATATTAATAGAGAAGCATTTTTGAGAGCAAAAGCTGACGTGTCGCTCCCACATTAATCCTCAGAAAATATTGCACAATTAGCATATATAAACTTTGTATTTACAAAATATCATCGAGTAAATCGGTTTGCAATTTGTTATTAATTTTCCGATAATTACCCTTAATTTTGATGATTAGGATACATTATTTCTAATTGGTAAGGTCATTTATTGGAAATTTCAATTAAACCAAACGAAATTACCCGACCGGAGATGGGTCGACCCGCGCGTCCGCCCGTTTTTATTCGTTTGCAATAGCCCATCGTTCGATCTGCAGCAAAAACTGTTTTGTTAGTATTATTTTTGAAAACAAACAAATATTATAAGAGGCCGAAATCCCAAAAACGTGGCCTGTAAATTACACATACCATATATAAATTTTTGGCATCTGCTATATAAATCGTCTGAATTATTAATCGCCCACCTTATTGTTATTTCCAAATAAGAAATTTTTTTTTTAACAATGTTTGATAAGCTCAGACCTCATTTTGCTAAGAAGTTTGTGTGGGATAATAACAAAAAAAAACGGCAACCCAGGAGGAGTACATGGTACGAAAGTATAATATTTGTGTCTTTTTCTTTGCTATACGTTTTCTCATCATTACCATGTCTTTATTCATTTTCTACGGTTAACTTTTGATTGTTTTTAAACGTTTTATGTTCAGTCTTCCTAATCTTCACGAACTGGAAATGAGAAGTTAGAATAGACCACTCACTCTCAAGCAATGTGGAAATGGTAGGATGAATCAAAGAGACGCAATCAAGACTCTCTATTCAAATATCTTACAACTATAGAGGTCGAGAAGAATTACAGGAGAAGGCTTCAATCTAAGCTTTAGTTATCCAACCAAATTCAGATTCATATTGTTGTTATTTGATATTAGTTTTCCATCTTGGATTATCCCATTCATTTTAAGAATAAAAATTTGGTCCTACTATTCATTTCTTTAAATTGATTAATTTTTAAATAACAAAGTTCATGATTATAGTTATATAAAATTATATGATTTCAATCCGATAAGTTTTATACATACTAATTTTTAATACCACCCGGATTAGGATAATTATTCTAATACCCTACATAAAATAAACAAATTTACTAACTATAATTATGATCTTCAGAATATATTTCGACGCCATTGATTTAGATTTTAAAAGATTTCAATCTCATTCCAATTAATTCAAAATTTCTTTTTAGCGGCAATATTATTTTGCGAAATTAGGATTAGGGCTATCACTATTACTCTAATCATCTTATAAATAGTCACTTTTATCATTCTTAATTTACTCATTCCACCAACAGAGCAATTTTATAGTACCCTAGCACTCTAGCTTTTATTTTCCCATGGCATCTTTCTCTTCTGTTTCTGACTTGAAACCATTTAAGAACATGTGGAAAATAAAGGTCAAAATCATAAGACGTTGGAAACAATACACTGCTGCTAATGGTGAAACCATTGAAATGATCGTAATTGATGGGAAAGTTAGTATATATGTTATGATTATAAGTTATATTAAATCCTTATTTGATGTGTTTTATTGTGTGCGTTTCTTAAAATTTGGTTAACGATTAATTCTCTCTGGTTTATTTAAGTATTGTCATATTTATAAGATAGATGCATATAGATGTTTGTCTTATCTTAAGCTACCCCTGTTTGTATAAATTTCCCACTATTATGAATAACTAGGGATGGACCCGCACGTACGTGCGGGGTTGATTTCAAAAGTTTGTATTACATACGTGCGTGCGGGGTTGATTTCAATATATTACATACATGAAAGGTTAAGTTTGTAAACATATTTTTAAATAATAGTATTTAATTCATAATTTGAAAAATTCGTACCAGTTTCATGTTGTTTTTAATTCGATTTAGATAAAGAAATTATCAGATTTGTTTTTGTTAAGTTAAGAACATTACATAAAAGAGAAATAGTAAAAAAAACCAAAAATGTGACTATTTCATAACCGTAGAGTCCCATCCATATATATCATGCTTTTCCATCTTACAATAGTGGTTTGAATACTCATTTGAGATTATATATTTTATTCTATCATATAAAAACAATAGGTAAGAGATTCAGAGCCACACATACGTTTGCTTTGCTTTCTTCAAATTTTTGAATATTTGAAATAATAATCGCTTTAAATCGACATGATAGCGGACACGGATCAAGTGTAAACCTGATTAGTGATATTCTATATTTCTATATAAATCGTAAACTATCAAACCAGGTAAAAACAACAAAAAACACTAAAATTTCTTGAAACAAATGACCTAAATGTAGTTGTCAAGCGAGTTAAACTCGTCCGCTATGTCTGGCCTGCAACGAACTAAAATATTTTAACCCGCAAAAAACCCGTTATCAAAATTCACATGAGTAAAAAGTATCTATGTATCTCCCTTAGTTGAATTTGCGTTATCCAAATTTTTTTCCTCATATTTTACCAGCATTATTTAGATACTATTTTTTTTATTATTTTCTGAATTACCCGCTCTCTCCATGTACCCATTATTTCATGTTTCAATATTTAAAATAAATAGGAAATTTTAGCTATTTAAATTTTATGCTTCTGTATTGTACCTGTAACTTGATATTTGAAAGTCAAAATTGAATTAAACTATCCAAATTGGTGAATTTGGTCTCGTTACTTTTTTTTTGTAGTCCTCTCTTTTTATTAGAAAAAGTTTAGATGTTTTTGTTTTTACAAATTAAATATCACTACCAACATTTTTTTATTAAGTCCATTATATAAAATTTATGTCCCATAGTTTCTCAAGAATGGTTCGGAATCACACCCATATGGTGGATAATGTTGTAGAAATTTATTTGGTATAACTTTCAAAATCAAAATTTATACTCGTTTCGTTTAAATAAGAAGTTCAAAACATATAGTTTAATATGTAAATGTTATACACTCGATATTGAATCATACAAAATATATTTCAATATATAGATTTAATATCGATCGGTTTAGATTTTATTGTTAAGCTTTTAATAAATGGAAATTTGAACCGATGAATCTACACTAATTAGTTAAATTTATTAGTTTCCTAAATTATAGGATCGATCAATATTTTTATAATTAATATGACATATTTTTACGGTTTGTTTCTCCACATTTATGGTTGACTATTATTTCTCAAGTACGAAATTATATAATTTCTTCGCAAGTACAAAATTATATTAGTTTAAGATATTCTATATGATATGGAATGTTGATTCGCTAGATTTTAGCAAAGAAATTTTAAATTATTGATTTATTTTCAGATTTTAAATTTAAACATTTTTTGTTAACTGTTTAAAATTATATAGTTTTGTAAATTTGATGATATAATAAAATATTTTGTACATTTCTGCATATTTTATGCTACACAAAATTTGATTAGTCGTTTATTTCCTAGTATAAAATATTTTATTTTTATTTTTTTCCTAAACTATCATCTTTCTTTTCCATAAAATTATATAATTAATATTATATAATGATTTTTTATAAGTTTAGCATTATATAATTTTTTTCCATAAATCCTTAAATATAAGATGATGTTTTTTTATTACATTTCATTAAATATATATTTAGTGTTTTCAAAAATTTTGGAAAGTATATAATTAATATAAAATATGTTTACATATGTTTAATTTTGAATTTAATTGTCCACTTTTTATGGTAACAAACTTAATATGGTTTCCATAAATATAGATAATTCATAATTTTGGTTTTTATTTTTTATTTATTTAACTATATTTTTTGCTGTCTTTAAATGTGTTTGGCAATAGGTTTGCAATCACATTTTTCTAATATTTTTTTTTCAAGTTTGTTTGGCAACAAAGACTAAAAATGATCCCCAATTAATAGTATAGATTCTTATTCGATATGTTTAAATTTTATGTTTGAAATCTTTTTTTATACCTATCTAGAGTACATATTTATGTAAGTATTATAACATATATTAAACAAAAACTCACGGTTTTTAAATTTATGACGAAAGTAATAATATACGTTTCATTAAAATTTATTTAGGTTAACTATATATTTTGAGGATTAATAAACCTTTGTATATGGTATAGGGGCACAAAATCCAAGCGACCATCAAGAATTCACTAACTGGATTGTTCCGTGACCAACTTGGTGAAGGCGATACTAGAATTCTCATCAACTTTGGGTTGTTCCACTCTGCAGGCATGTACCGGACAACTAATCATCCATACCGGATTGCTTTCATTCCTAACACCAAAGTGAGAAAGTGTGAAATACCTTTGCCTTATGAGTTGGATGGGTTCTCTCCTGTTAAGTTTGGTGATATTCTTGATGGTACTCTGGATGACAACTACTTGGTTGGTAAGTCTTTCACCTTATAAAAATGACTTAGTTGTTGAGCTATATTCATAAGTAATCTTTAAATTCATGTGTTTTTGAATATTACTCTTACCTATGTAGATGTTCTTGGACAATTGGTGAATGTTACCCAACTTGAAGATATACCTGTGAATGGGAAAGATACCAAAAAGATCACTCTTGAATTGCGTGATGAACTGTAAGTATAATACTTATAAAGACAAATGATTTGAAGAATTTTGTGTTTAGTCTTAGCTACTCTAACTTTTTCTAATATAATGAAATTACATCTATCTTTTTCATAGTGATCAAAGTCTCTCTGTTGTGCTGTGGGGAGCATTCGCTGAGCATATTAACAACAACATACAAGCTGCCCCTGAAACCATTGTCGTTTGTGCTGTCCAATTTGGCAAAATCAAAGTTTGGAAAAGTTAGTTCTCTGACAATATATGCAAAGTTGATTGTTCTCTTAAAGTAATTTAACATTTTTGCCCTCTTTTGATATACTATAGATAATCGATCTCTCTCTAATGCTTACAATTGCTCGGCTGTTGTGCTTAATCCTGAACTAACTGGAGTTGAAGAATTCAAATCACGGTAACTCTTTTGTTATCTTTGTCTTGACAATATTAATATATATATATTTTACTTACCTCATTACACATGTTAATTGTAGTCTTCCAAAGATGACCTTTCCTTAGCTGTTGTCAATTCAAACCCTTTTGCAATTGTTGGTGGTGTATCTGACAGAGAAGACTTCTTTGTCCATACGCCAAGAAGAACAATCTGTGAAGTGAAATGGTCACGAGAGGTCAGTAATGGGAATTATTTACCTTCATTTTTACAATACTTTAAGTTATTATAAATGTCATATTAAGAGTATTTGTTTTCCTCAACATACTATTAGATTGCCAAATGTATTGTCATGGCCACTATTTTTTCCATTGATGGTGATATGGGTTGGTATTACTGGAGTTGTAGTGTTTGCGCAAAGAAGGTTACACATATTCTACTAGAAGGTGGAGATGATGACGAAGCCACTGAATTTTTGCCACTGACCTTCCAATGTACCAAATGCAACATCGACAACCCAGTTCTGGTCCCAAGGTTATATAGAGATAAAATTTTTACATTATGGCGACATATTAAATAAACATGATAGTGTCAATAGATCTAACTAAACATTGTAATGTCTTAGGTTTAAGTTACATCTCCGTGTAACTGATCACACTGGTGATACTACCTTCATGTTGTGGGATAATCTCACACAGCAAATTATCGGTCAAACATCAACTCAACTAGCTCCACCTGAGCATAATGAGGTATAGTCTTTTTCATTTAAATGCGTTCTATTTTATTGATGTTAAATCATAGAAATATTTTTTAAATACTGCATTGGTAAAATGACACAGATACAAGAGGAAGATTTGATCCCTGTTGTTGTTACAAATGTGATTGGAAAAACTTTTCTCTTTAAGATTTGCATTGACAAGGAGCATATTGTTTACAAACATAACACCTACAAGGTCATGAAGATTATCACTGATGCAGACATGATCAGTGAGTTTAGTGTTTTAGATTCACCCCATGTATCACGTATCATAAGCTTATATATTACTATGACGAGTACATATTTGTAACATATAGGGAATTCTATATTTAATTTTTTATTAATATGTGTCGCAGGGCACTATTGACACTGTTGGTTGTATTGGTGGTGGTGGTTCTTTTGTTTCTTCTCCAAGTGAGGTACTGGAGATTAGCTTATAGCTCTCACATATATAATTTATCAAAAATATGTTTATGTTGTTACTAAATACAATTGTATCCAGGGAACACTACTGTTAACTGATGTTGATGGACCATCTGGATCATCCATTTCACCGGATTCCACTCAGGCCAAGCGGAAGGTTTCAACTCCAAAAGCTTCTATAGACACAGATGAACAGACCTCTACTTCCAAGAAGATTTGTCATGTCAAAGTGAAGCTTGAGAAGATTGAAAAAACGAAAGAAGTGAAGGAGTGATCGGTTATCCTAATCCAGTAGCATCCAAGGCCAAATAAGTTATTCTCTTTATATTTTGTCATGAAAACATTATCTCTGTTTCACTTAATTCTGTTTCCGGGTTTTCTTTACTTTGGTATTTGCGTTAAACTATGGTATTTTTGTTTCTGAAGTTTAAATTCAATAAGGCCACTGTTTCGTACTCTTATTATTTTTTGTTTTAATTATTGGATATGGCATGCATAAGATACAAATTTTCAGGTTCTACAAGTAGCTCATGTATGTTGGGGGTGTTGTCCTGTCTTTAGATGAATAACTTTGCTGGCAAATAGCTACTTTTATGCAATAACAGTGAAAAGCGTTTATTGGAAAATGCAAACAAGAATGACCAGACATGTAACAAGTGCTTTTATTTGGCAGAAATTTCGAACAAAACAATATAACTATGCATCAAACACATCACATTTTTGCAAAAGCTGTGTGGCACTTGTAGTTTTTGCAATATACCTATATCTAAATTAGTTATTTACTGATATTTATTGTTTGTTCTTATTTAGAGTTTGATATTTACTGATATTTATTGTTTGTTCTTATTTTGAGTTTGATCTATGATTTTTATTTTAGGGATGTAGGATTGATGCTACAGTACCCTACATACAATATGCAACTCCTTTCCATAATCGCCTTCAAGAGGGATCATGGTACCCATTGACTAACTTCCTGGTAATTGAAAATCGTTTACCTATCAGAAACTCAAACAATCATCTCACAATTACTATGGTGCTGGGGACAACCATGCATGATGTTGAAACAATAATCGATAGTGAGTTTTTCAATTTTACGTGTGCATCAAAAATTGACACTTCACATGAAGAGGACCGCAAGTACTGTGTTGGTAAGTATTTTTATAGTTTATATGTTAACTACCGTGTTTATATTGATATTGTTTTATACTTCAACTGAGGTTAGATTTATTTAAGTTCTAATGTAAAACTCTCTTAATACAGATGCAAGTGGTATTGTGTCAAACATTTCTGAGATGCAAGAAATTAATTTCGTTGATGGGGAATATGGTTATGCTAATGCTGAGAGTGTTGTGACATTTACATTGTCAGATGAAACGTATACACAATTTTTTTATAAGTTACTTCATCATATATATAGTTCTATGGATTTCTATATTATTTGACCATGTTTTACTCCAAAAATAACAGGAAGAAAGAGATCCGATGTGTTGCTGTAGGCAAATGTGCTAGACAATTTCAGAAAGAGTAGAACGATTTGGTTTTCGAGGGAGACATGGTTGATAGACCTATTATGTGTGTTCTTCGCTTTTGGAGAATGACTGAATTTGAAGGTAATTAAACTACAAATTTGGTATTTTTTATGTCCACATATATCATAAAACAAATGAATACATTATCATTTTTAATGGGATATCTTCATTGAATAGGTTATCCATGTATTATATCTCAATATGGATCTTCTAGAATTTACATGGACAAAGAATATGACGAAATTTCATTTTTCAGACTCCTTTATTAAAATTCATAAAAAACCTTTCATTATAATCTCAATTTTTTCCAAATTTAAATGATTATGCAGAATAATGTTATGGATCATTTCTATATCTAACAATATGGTAATTGGAAACCAAACTTAGTGATAGGAGACATACATAACAAAGAAATGATTCTTAAATATTATTCCCCATCACTTTTGTATTTAGAAATGTGTATCATAAAGTATCTCCCATTCTATAATAATAATAAAAAAATATATTCGACTTTATTATTTGTTTGGAAATACTTCCTTAGGCGACGATATATGTAAATCTATAGTCATTGAATAAGATAATCAATCAGAAGTGAAAGTATTAACATTTAAATTTAATACGATTCATTGCATTTACTATTTTAAAAAACTTTCAATTCAAAAGACATTGAAATTAATTATATCTTCAAATTTAATGTATTGTTAAAACTGCATGTAAGGAGTCAAAGAGACAAAAAACTATAGACTACCAGCAACTTTATGGCTATACAAGCTTTATACAGACATAGTTTCCATACCAAATATGCGTATTATGTGTATTTTGGTAGTATATCATATTAACACTAAATAATGAACTATATAAGATATGTTAAATTGCCCATTCGAATGATCTATAATTATTCTTCTTATGATATGGTAAATTACATTTTATTCAATAATGAACTATAGAAGATTATATCCGCATAAAATAAGAATATATCCATTTTTTACATAAGAAATATTACCAAAATTTAACAAACGATATATATATATATATATATAATTATTCATCTACCTAAACAGTTGCAAACTGATTTCTAAACAGTTATTTATTTATCGTCGTGACTCTGCAGTTAAACCTATTTTGTACCCTTTCTAATCTATATAAGATTATTCTTACCACTACTTTACGCCTCGATACTCTCAATTGTAACATCAAAATCACAAGTTATCTCTCAAAACGTGTCTCTACCATGGTTCATTACGACAGGATAAGTGAACTTCATTCATGGAGGAGTGACTGGAAAATCTGTGTGAAGGTCCTAAGGAAATGGAGGAAGATAGATCAAGGAGAAGATACTGTTGAAATCATCTTCTGTGATGTTTTCGTAAGTTCTTTTTATTATAAATATTGTAAATATAGTCTTATTTTGCAATTTATTTTAACATATCATTAATTTCTATCATGAACGCTAGGGGGACAAGATTCAGGGAACCATATCCAATGATCTCTTTCTCCAATTCAACAACGATGTGCATGAGAATGACTGGAAGATTGTTTCTAATTTCTCCATTATCCCTGAAACAAGCCCCATCAAGATTGTGGATAACAATTATCGCATCCGGTTCATGGAGGAAACTGTTTTGGATGACTCAGAGCCAGTGTCTAGCAATCATTTCATCGACTATCAATCTTTTGATAGACTATTCGATGGTTTCCATGCAGTGAGAAACGTCTGCTTAGGTATGAATTCCGAATTTTAGTCATTAGCATATTCTCATTTTTAGACATTATAATTTTTAATGGAATTTTTGAACTTACATAAATTATGGGCCAAGTAGTCCGTGTGGAACCAATCCTACATGTCGATAATCCAAATGCTGTTCACTATCATGAAAGGTGTAGGCTTGTGAGGTTCTGTCTTACAAACCTCGAGTAAGTAATCTATTGTTTTACTTAGGAACAATTTTGTAATGATTATAATATTATATAGTTTACTTATTCATTATATGTTTCGTTTAGGGGTCATGAGATTCAATGTGTTGCTTACAATGAACATGCTGATTTCTTTGACAACAATTGGTGGCCAACTGGTAGCAAACCAATTGTAGCAGTACTACGTTACTGGAGAGAAAAGTACACATCCGGAGGTATAGTTATCTATTAAATGTTTATTTTGTTTCATGCAATTCAATGACATGTTTAGATACAACAAATGTTACTTTTGTAGGTCAAAGAATCGAACTACTGTCTGTCCCAGGGGCTTCTACCATTGTTTTTGATCCTCTATACACTGAAGTTGTTGATTTCTACAATCGGTAAGATTTGTTTTATTTTAAACAATGTATGGAATTTTTAATTATTTTATCATCTAGTTTATTCAAAGTTGCTTTGTGAAATTTATTAGATAATTTTATTTTTTATGCAGTTTGATCTTTACCACCAACAGTGGTGTGATGATGAAGGTGATGCTTAGAATGGGGTTGGCAAAGAATCAAAGAGTTGGTCCATGAAGAAGATGTTTTATCAGCTTTTAAAATATTTCCAGTATTTCGTTTTTTTTATGAACTCCCCGCGTTTTGTATTTTAATAATTAAGACTTCTGGATGTTTACATCATCCATACATAAGTTATTTGAAGTTATTTGACAATATTTATTTTATCTAATTATGCGTTCATATATTTATATGTTTAAATTATTGTAGATTATTTTATTAAAAACATCTAATTAAGCTAAAAACTAAATTAAAAATCGTAATATTTATTTAATAAAAATAAATATCTTATTGTGGTGCCTATGCTTTTTCAAAAATGCTGCAAAAACTGTTTTTGTCATTGATGCAGAAATGGTTGGTCGAAGTCATCATGATAAGTCAAAACATTGAAAACAATGTTTTAATAAATTTAGTTGTTTAGAAAAGACCCTTTCAAAACCCTTTGACCATTCATAAATGACATAGCAAATATATATATTTCCTTTAAACATATGCAACTTCTGCCTATTTAAAGACTAGCAATACAATATATCAAATTTTTCTCAAACACAGAATAAAAAAACCTCTCTAGCCATAGCAAAATTATTCAAAATGGCAAACACAAACTCTTTTGCAGATCTAACTATGCATTCTATTAACTGGAGTTTGTTTGTCAAAGTCTTAGCAATTTAGAAGCCTAAACATGATGGTATGGGGAGAAGGAAGGAAATGATTATAGTAGATGCAGAGGTAAAAAAATTTAAACCATTCTTTGTTATTTGAACATATATATCAATTACTACTAAGTATTTTGTTTTCTCTCTCTCAAATAAAGGGATGTAGGATTGATGCTACTATCCCATATCTTCGGTATCGAACTCCATTCCATAATCTCATTATTGAGGGTTATTGGCATCTCTTATCTAAATTTCAAGTGTCTGTGAATGATTTACCAATAAAATTTTTACGACATCACCTCAAAATTACAATGTAACCGAACACGGAAATGATTGAAGTTAATGAGAAAGTATGGAGTGATTACTTCAATTTCATATATTCTAACCAAATCCTATTCGCACACGAAGAGGAGAAAAAATATTGTTATGGTATGTGTAATCTACATTTCTGTCCTAGATCTAAATATTTACTTATTTATTAATTTTACTTGGATTGATTTTCTAATAAATTTGGTAATTTTTATTGATTTGGAACTATAACTGAAGATGCATGTGGTATTGTATATGATGTTTCTCAACTGTGTGAGGTTAATTTTGTTGATGGTGAGAATGGTTACTCAAATGCAGCAAGTGTTGTAACTTTCACATTGACAGATGAAACGTAAGTGCATTATTTACATAATATGTTGCTTACTTATGGTACATCTTCTATTGTTTACAAGTAATCCCTGTCTCACTAGTCAATATGGGTGTTCAAGAATTTACCTAGATCATGAGTTCCCAGATATGACGTATGAAATACTACTGTGAGTGTTATCTACAATATGGGAGAATACATTTTTACATTTTAAAATTCTACTGTATTAAATTAGTAATTTAATATATTAATTTTTTACAATTTATTAAAATACAGGGGTGAAGTCGAGGAAGATCAAGGTGATGAAGATAGTGAGGAGGAAGATTAATTTAATATATGTATTTGTATAAATAAGTTGTTGTTTTAATATGCATTTTGAACTTGGAAACTATTTAATCTAAATCATTATCAAATTATCAAATTTATTCCGATTCATTTATCGCATACTTGGAGATTTATTATAATGAAAGTAACACGGATACGGTCATAAGTTTGGAGATGTTATATCACCCTGCATGAAATTTGGAATTGTATCATGTTAAAGACGGAATTATTTATGTGATTATTCTGATTTGTATCATAGAAACAAAATATTATGAAAACACATTATTTAGTTTATTTTTGTTTGACTAATTCAAATTTCTAAAGGTTAACCAACCTAAAATCACGGTCTCTCTATTAAATTTAGGGATTTAGTTTCTAAATTCAACTAACTAAATATATTGTCATTTATAATCAATCAAGAATACTACTAACTTGTTGATTATAAGCATAGCTCCCACTATTTTTCAAGACTTTATCGTAAAAAATGCAGCCTAACAAAGAGAAAAGAGAAGTGTCAAAGCCTAGAAAAAAAGCAATGAACAAAAGAAAGAAATGTAAGTGTGTTAACCCAATAATTCAAATTTATAATATTTGAGTTGAATAAGTAGCATTGACTTAGTTCTATTCAATGCAGCAAATGAAAATACAGCTCTTGTAGGATATCAAACTAACATCAAAGAACAGTTCTTAAGAGAAGAACTTATCACACATGGTGGACCTGTATTAAAAGATATTACCAACACTAAAGTTGAAATATATAAGGAAGCAAGACATTTAAGAAGAAGTATCATGTGTGCTAAGTGGAAATCTTCAGAAATTGGTAATTATATTGAAACCGAATGGTGTTATTGTTTTAGTCTCATACTACTGAAACTAAGATGATGCACCCTGCTATTTAATGAAACAGGAACAGAAATGCAACCAAACCACATAATTCAACAAAGGGTGCCAGACATTAATTCTAATAAACAAGGTATTTTACCATGCGAGTAGTTATATAATTGATCAATTATTTATCTTCATGCCTATTCACAACTAATGTGATAGTACTAATTTCATTTTAAGCCACCCAAAATAAAAAACCAAGAAATTCATGCAAGAAGACAAGCACAAATGGATCAAAAGGAAAGGAAAAGATTAAAGAAAGGAAAAGAAAAACTACTACCACAATTGATCTCAATAACGTACCCTCTACTTCCACGTCTCATCATTCAGCTAAAGGTAATATCCATTCTGTATAATCCACTATCCTATTACATATGCTATGATACATTCAACCATTCAATGTCCACTGAAATGAAATGTTAATTTCTATAAATAAAGGATTATTTGATTTTACTGATTCCAAGATATGCTAAGAGCTTATAATATGATGTTTGCTTTTACGTCTCTTGGTGGTAAATTTGACAATTCAGTCAATAATGGAAAAGGACCAAAGATCTTTAAATTGCATGGTGAAAACTACCATTTGATTGGAAGTTTGAAGCCTCCTGAAAATAGCAATGCTAAGTTCTTGCAGCTGTATATTTGTGATACTCAAAATGAGGTTCTTAACCGTATAAATGCCCTCAGGTAACTATATGTACATTTAAATAAACAAGGTTAACGGTTTAATGATACATGAATTTTAATATTCTTTATCTACATCTTACAGTGGTAGCAATGGGGAAGTTAGAGTTACTAGAGCAAACAAAATCAGAGAGGATTTGGTTGAAATGGTCATGGAGATGCTAAATGCAAATAATGAATACGTGAAGGCATTCAGATACGCTAAAGAAAGGTTCATAGAAGAAGATTCTGAAGGTATAAATTTGGTTCTAATTAACAACCGTGTCAAAGATGGAAGGATATTTAACCTACCTACATCCTCATAGGTAGCTGTATTAGTTGTTGGAGATTTCACTTGCGGCATGGATAAGCGTGACATCATTCTGGAAGAAAAGAACACTGGATAATTACAGAGGATAGATGAGTTGAATCCTTGCTATTTACCACTTCAGTATCCACTTTTGTTCCCATATGGAGAAGATGGATATCATTTGGGAATTGGTTGTGGTTACATTGGGAAAAAAGGGGAAGGAGAAGGATATAACTCTAAGAGAATGGTTTTCTTACCGTATACAGATTAGAAAGTCAGGATCTCAAGTGTTACACCTAGGAAGACGACTATTTCAGCAGTTTTTGGTTGACGACTACACAATGATTGAGTCAAATAGACTTCGGTATATCAGGATGAATCAGTCAAACTTGAGATCACAATCTTATAAGAAATTAAAACAAGCAGCTGAAAATGGGGATGCTGAAATTGAACTCGATGGCAAACAGATTTTTATTCATGCTTCATTCACTGGTGGTCCTAGATATATGCATGAAAATTACCTAGATGCTATGACCATCTGTAAGTACTATGGATTCCCTGACCTCTTTATAACCTTCACATGTAATCCAAAGTGGCCCGAGATCCAGAGGTGTTTACCATTGCTTAATCTGCGATCAGAAGATAGACCAGATATTTGTGCAAGGCTTTTTAAGATTAAGCTGGATAGGATGATGGATGAAATGACAAAGAAGGAGCTATTTGGGAAGACTGTAGCTGGTATGTTACTATTACAAAATAGATTTAAAATTGTATTAATTATTACATATATTAATTTTTATGAAGGTATCCTTATTTAATATGTTTCGTCTCCGTTCTAAATTGCAGGAATGTATACCATTGAATTTCAAAAAAGAGGTCTACCCCATGCTCATATATTGTTATTCATGGATTCAAAGTCAAAATTCCCAACCGATGAAGACATAGATAGAATAATATATGCTGAGATCCCAGACAAAGATAAAGATCCTTATTTATATGAGGTTCTGAAGGATATGATGATACATGGACCATGTGTTAATCGTAATACTACTCTCCCGTGTATTGTTCAAGGAAACTGTACTAAATTTTACCCGAAGCAACACAGAGACAGAACTACGGTTGCTTCAGATGGATATCCTGTCTACAAAAGGCGTGATAATGGGGTGTTCTTGGAGAAATCTGGGATTCAATGTGACAACAGATTTGTTGTACCACATAATCCAACATTGTTAAAGAGATATCGAGCACATATTAGCGTCGAGTGGTGTAATCAGACACGTTCTATTAAGTATTTGTTTAAGTATACTAACAAAGGTCAAGATTGTATTACTGCAACAATCAAGAGTGCTACAGTTGATGACCCAAGTACTGCAGCTGAGAATCTGAATTATTCTAATGCGGGAACAGAAAACCAACCAAATGGAGAAAATGGAGAAGAAAAACCAGTTGATGAGATAAAAAAGTATTTCGACGCAAGGTATGTATCATTTACTTACTACTCTTCTGATTAGAACAACAAACTGATTTTAAAGCATGAGTTGGA